ATTAACCTAGTGTAAAATTAAATAGTTATTAATTAGCTAGTATTAATATTATATTATAAGTTATAAGTTTTTTTAGGGTTTATAAACTACTTTAAATAATTTATTAAAAAATATGCTAAAGTAACTTACCTTATAATATAACTTTTAAAAAGCATGGTTAAAGGGTGTAAAAATAGCCCTTTTTTATAACTAAATAATATATAAAAAGCTTTTAAAAAATTAAATTTACTTTTACCTAGCCTTTGGTATTATAGTATTTTAACCTAAAAAAATCCTTATTATTATAAATATATTAGGTTTTATTATAGCTGGTATTATTACGTAGTTAGATTAGGAGAAAATACTTAATAAAAAAAGTAAAACTAGTAATAGCCTGTTATTTTTTACTTTTAATAACTTTATAAACTAAAGCTAAAATATAAGGTTTATAATTAAAAACTACTTATAATTATTAAATTTTTTAAAAAATAATAATATTATTTAAAGGGCTTTGTGCATTTTATACACGTTTAATATAATTATAATAATTTATAGTATTTTTTTAAAATAAAGATCTTAAATTAAAGGTAAGCTTATTAAGTAAAGTTATTAGTAACCTATAACTTTAAAATTAAGTATAGGCTAGAAAGGTTTAATCTAGTAAATATATTATTAAGGCACCTAGATTATTAAGTAAAAAATAAAAAATATTAAGTTAATTTACTTTTAACTTTATAAAAAAAGTTAAAATTATTTTTTAATTAAATTAATATTAAATAGGTGTTAAAGGGCCTAGCTACCCCTTTAAAAAAAAATTAAAAAAAGTATTAACTTTTAGGGCTAATATATTTTAAATTATAGGTTATAAAAGTAGCCCGTGAGAAAAAATTTATTAAACTAGTTATAAAACCCCTTTAATAAAAGTTATTTAAAGCTTAATATAAAAATACTCACGCTAGCTATATTTAATAATAACTAAAAAAAATAATTTTAATTAAAATAAGGTAGGGCTTTTATTTAAAGTACTAGTATATAAAAAATAATTTTTTTTATTAAAAAATTATTTATATCCCTCCCGTGTTTATATTATAATATAAAATTATAAGGGTATACTATAATAATCCTTATATAGGCTACTTTAATTATAAGTATATTATTAAATTACTTAAGTATAAGTTTTAATAAAAAGATTTTAATAAAAAAGTGTAAAAGTATATTAAAAAATATTTTTTATATTAAAAGTTTAAAGTTTTATAATAGCTAGCCCAAGGCTAGCTTACCTTTTTACTAGTTTTAAATATATTATAAAAAATCTTTTTATAAACTTTATTATTAACCTACCTTTATTAAAGTATAAAGGCCGCGTGTATAATATAATATTAGTAATAATAAATTATTTTAGTAAAAAAGTAAAATATATTTTTACCACCTAAAAAGTTAATACTAAAAAGCTAGTTAATAAATTTATTAAAAAAATAGTATATAATATAAGGGCGCCCAAAAGCCTAGTTACTAATTAAGGCTTATTATTTATTTTAAATTATTAATAATTATTTTATTAAATATTATAAATTAAAAAATGCCTTAGCACTGCGTACCATTTATAATTAAATAATTAAATTAAATAATAAAATTAAATACTTAAAATATACTTATATATTTATTATAACTTTTAGTAAAATAACTAGGTTATATTTTTATTAGTTATATTATTTACCTATAATAATTTAAAGTATAATATAACTAGGTACATACCTTAAATAGCCTTATATAGCTAAAAACCTATTATTTTTTTATTAAAAAATTATAAAAAAAATATTATATTTTTTATTAAAAAATAAACTTTATTAATTATAAAAGTTATAAAATAAATTATAAAATTATATAAATAAGGCCTAAAAAAAGCAAGCCCTTTATTATAATAAAAAGCATACTTTTATTAAATTTAAAATTAGGAATAATATTTTACTATTACTATATAATATTAAAATAATTTAGCTAAGTAAAAAACTTAACTAAAAGTTTAATAATTTTTTTAAAATTATTAAATTTATTAAAGAGCAGGTATATTAGCTCCGGCTTACTAGTTATTATACTTAGTTAAAAATTTATTTAATATTTTATATATTCTTGCTAAAGCCTTACACTAAGTAACCTAAATTTAAAAAAAAATAAAAAAATACCTAATATAAAACTTATTAATAAAAAGTAAGAATAAAAAGTTAAAGCTATTTTTACTAAATAATATACTTATAAACTAAATTAATTTTTAGTTAAATAAAAAGGCTGGCCTAGCTATAAAAACTTATAAAAGCTACTTAAAAATTTTAAGTATATATAAAAAGCTTTAAAAGATTATTATAAGCTAGCTAAAATAATACTAAAACACCCCTAGTTTAAAAAAAAATAGTAATAATTTTTTACTTACTAGGTTTTTATATTGCCAAAGCTAAAAAACTAATAAAATAGTTATTTTTTTCCTATATTTTAAATGGTTTGGAGGTTTAATAAACTATTATTATAAATAAAAATTTTAAAAGTTTTGGAGGTTTAATAAACTATTATTATAAATAAAATACCTTTTAATAGGATTTAGACTACCTATAGCCCTAAAAATAATATTAAATTTATATATTAAGGACCTAGGTAAAAATAGTTACCTTTTTTTTTTATTTTATATAGTTTTAAGGTTTAATAAACTATAACCTAAACAGCTCTGGACTACTAAAATTTACAAGTTATATTTATAAAAGCATATTAAAAAGGGAAAAAAGTCTTTTTTTAAAAATAAAAAATAAATAAAATAGATACTTTGCCAAGCTTTATTATTATTAATAAAGAACATCTGGGTGCTAGGGCGCCCTTACATTTAAGCTATTTTTAATATAATGATTATTTAAGCTTATTATTTTTTAGCAGCTATTTAAGCCTAATTTTAATAATTATTTAAGTTATAAAGTATAAAAAAATTAATTAATTAATTAATTTTAATATATACTAAGCATGTGGTAGCTATTTAAGTTATTAATAATAAATATTAACTTGATAAAATACTTTGGGAGACTTTTAAGGCTTTACTCAGTTAATAATATTATAATAAATATTAAAATAAGGTTTTTTAAAATACTAAAGCACTTATATAAAAAAGGGTATATAACCTAATAATTAATATTAGCAAAGTATTTAATAAAAAAAGTTTAATATATTAAGAGATTTGGCTTAATTAGCAAGAAAAAACTTTGTAGGCCACGTGACGCGCTAGTCCCAATCCGGTATGGTGTGGTGCCTCAGGCACCCCCCGTGCCGACATCCTGGTTGCTTCTGGACTTAACCGGGAGTCTTCCCCGAGCACTCCGTGCACGCACCTGGGTGCTTACCCCATATCCCGGCGCCAGTCCCTGAGCAAAAAGCGGCGCCATGTTGGGCCGAATCCGGAAATAGAAATCCCAAGTGGACCCTGCCGGGTAAGACCATCCTGTATGCAGTGCTATGCAGTGCTCCATGCTGTGTGACAACCTCCGTGACAAAATGCAACTACACACGATTTTACCTCGAAGATATTGCTTATGCTTATTGCACTCCAAGCATCCTTTCCTGATATTCATCAAAAGCTAAGTTGCCAGAGACTCCAGCTATACTTCGCTAGACCTAGTCACGGACCAGAGAGTGTATGGATATGGAGGGTATGGGTAGAACCCCCGAAAGGAAAAGCAAATGGTAAAAACCAAAACACAGTTCATACAAATACAATCCTAATACACAAACCCCACTCACAAGCCTCCAATCCCTCAAATCACCACCTCTTCTCAATAACCACTCACACCCCAAGCCCAAAACCCAGGACAACCCAGCCCTACTCCTCCCCAGCCCCAACATCAAACAACCCCCGATTCTTATCCGCCCTCTTAAAGCTCCTAACCTGCCCCTTCGCCCCGGGCCAATTCGCCCCAATCTCATTCCCCGCGTTCTCCGCCTGCGCCGGGAAGCTGTTCCCCGTGCCCGTCATGACCTCGCCCGTGAACCCCATGTCGTTCGTGCTCCGCGGCAGGTCCGTCGCGTTGTCCGCGGCGAAGGCCAGAGATGGCTGGCCCTGCCCGGAGTAGTCGAAGCCGCTGTCCTCGGAGCGCTGGTCTGGGCGTGGGACGGAGGGGATGGTGTTCATGCGGCCGGCGTCGTTGGGCATTTTTGTGCCGGTGGGTGCCATTTCTGAGAGGGGGGCGCCGTGGTGGGGGGAGGACATTTTGGTTGGTTGGTTGTTTGGTTTGGATTGAGTATATGGATAAGGTGGTAGAGTAGGTTTTCTTGAGTTTGTGGAATGGGATAGACCCGATGGACGGGTTTATATAAGGCGCTGGTACCCCGGGGGCGGGTGATGTCAGGGTGACATTGGTATGATATCAAGAGGCATCGCGGCGGCAAGTCGTCGGGTGTTTGGTTGTTCGATGATACTCGATGAGATAATGAGGGGATGGTCAACGGACGTTCTAGAACGGATGATCCTATCGATGGATGTCGCCCCGTGCTCGCTCGGAGTCCTATCCACGTCCGCTCCCGCCTGACCTCGCCCAGCCCTAATTCGCCACAGACCCTTCCGGTTGTCACCAAGTATGCAATTGTATGATGTTCCATTCGAACTTTGACAAGAAAAGGAAATCCTTGTTCGACTATGTGCCTAAGAACACCTTACTCAATCACATCCATTGTATGTAACTCATCCAGATACGCTCATTACAGAGTAAACCCTGACCCAAGCTCCAAAGCAATAGGAACCCTAAGCACAAAAGCATAAATATATCTCTACCCGTATAATTTTTAGAAACCCTTTCGCCACTAATATCAACCAAACAGCATTCAGTTCATGGAAATCAAGTTCTCGCCCAATCTTCCAAGGTCCTTCCTCTCATTATCTCTTTTGAATGTCCACTCAGGCACCCAGTTGGTGATTGAGTTCGGAAACGAGGTGTAGATTTGATTTTTCAAACTTTAGGTTCTTGGTAAGTTAAGTGAACTTGCAGTTCCACTTAGTGCTTCAAGTTCTGCCTAGGAACCGGTCGCACCCAGCTAAAGAGCACTGTGCTACCAAGGGTAATGAATCCAATAATCCACAGGGCGCGGTGGTACTGCGTCCCGTTGTACCGAAAGACGATCGCGAAGATGATGCCGCCAAAGTTGCCCATCCCGCCAACGATCCCGGAGACGATTCCTGTTCTTATTAGTCTCAACCCTACTACTGATCCTGAGAGTGAAGGGCTTACCATTAGCAGACGGATGCACATGCGGGACAATCGCAAAGTTCGCCCCATTGCTCGCGGCAATACTGAACGCGAGCAGCATGACCAGGCCAAACATGACGCCTTCGCGGTGCGGGTCTAGGAATCCAATTAGGATTGCCGCACCGGACATCAGCAGCCCTAAGCCCACGAGCCATATCTTCTTCGCCCAGACGGAGTTGGTCCGCGCGTAGATTAGGTCTGCGAAGAACCCGCCCATGGGCCGGAAGATGACATTGACGAGGCCGAACATGGACGCCCATCGGCCGGATCGGGTCTGTCCGAGCTCGGGGAAGTTGAGGAGGTAGTACGCGCCTAGGATGGAATTGATGGCGAGTTCGGCGCCGAACGAGCACGCGTAGGGGAATGCCACTGCGAGTGCGGATGGGTCGAGTGCGATGGAGAGGTAGCGTTTCAGGGTTGGGGCTTCGACGATGGCGTCTGTGCTCTCGATCTGTCCAGCAGTGACGGGGGCTTGTGCTTCGGGGTCGGTGATCTCCGGGCGGGCGCTCTTCTTCTCATCCGTGGAGAGGTTGATGCTGTTTGCGCTGGACTCGATGGGGGCGGAGCTTAGGTCGACGACGCGCTGTTCGCCGACCCTGTGGCGATCGGCCCACTTGCCGGTGGGAGTGTCGGGGCAGGTGAAGAGCATTGCTAGGGCGATGGACACGATGATGATGAAGGGCACGATGTAGGAGACTCGCCAGGCTTTGTGGGGGGTTAGGCCGCGGTCGTGCACGAACGAGTCGTAGATTGCTGGCATGACGAAGCTAGACTGTGAGTATATATCAATTCTCGAGTTGAGCTGGTGCTTACTAGGTAATACCGCCGCCCCCGTTTCCAAACCCTCCCGCCAGAGCGTTGGCAGTGCCGACAACATTCTTATCGAAGAAGCCTGTGCACCACACCTGGCAAGGGACGAAGGTTGCACCGAGGATGCCAACGAAGAATCGCAAGGCAATCAGCCCTTGAGGAGAGGTAACAAGACCCGCCATGGCCGTCGGGATGGCACCGCAGATCAGAAGTCCTACAAAAACCAGCCGAGGGCCGAATCGATCACAGAGCGGGCCTGCAATGAACCGCATCATAAAACTAACTCTTAGCTACGTACAGTAACGGCTGGGGGTCACGTACGTTCCCAAAAGGGCAACGATGTTAGAGTTGGCAACATCGTCCTGTGTCATATGCAGGTCCTTCTTGATAGTGACGCTCAACTAGGCACGTTAGGTTTTTCGGCCATAAAAGCAATCTAAAGCCACTTACCAGAGGCGGAAATGCATACCAGGAAAGGAATGCAACTAGGAAACCAAGCCAGGAGAAAAAGAAGACCCTTCCATGAAGGTCAAAAGGGTTGAGGATCGGGATCGACCGTGCCTTGTGGGTCTGGGGATTCAACTCTGGGGCAGCAACCGCGAGGCGGAGCACTTGTGTGGCCTTCATTGTAGATGAAGTATTTGGTGGAGCTGAGTTGGAGTTATGGATGATGATTAACAGTGGAGACCAGTCTTTATATCCCCTTTTCAACTTGATATGGTCTGGCTCGCCTTGATGAAGTCCTAGGAGTTATTCACCCGCCAAGCAGGTTGAGCTGTGGATGGGCTTGAGACCGCGGAGGAACATGAATGAATGGCAGCTCTCCGATCCACGCCGAGACAGATATTTTCTGGGGCAATAACGGATCATTCGACAGTCCTGTCGGTACGATTGACCGTCTGCTAGCTCATGGCATCAACAAGGCACGCAGCACAGCCAAAACGTGGTCTGGCCGGATTCTGGCACCTCATCCGAGCAGAAGAACTCAGCCATGCAAGAGCTTGATTGACCCGATAAGCTCTGTGAAACAGACGAAAGGTCTCCGCGGCGCAAACAAAACACCAGGCCGAATCATCTTATAGGTAAAAGAAGCCAAGGAGGTGTGGCCGGTGGATGAAAGGGCTGATATGATGACGAAAGATAAAGCCTGATGCTCTGATTGGCTGACGAGGAAACAACGATCTTTGAGTTTGGGCCACTTCCGCGGGTGCCAGATAGCCCTGATAACCACTATCAGCCTTATCGGGGCCGTTTGATTGACAGTTGAAATCAACAAACCCCTGATGAATGCTCTACGGTCTGCCCTCATATCAAGACTGTCCAAGGCTAGTGGCAGGGTGAATGACCAGCTCAGTTACTATGGGATGCCCGGGCACGGAATAAGCGGACCAATCCTGGCACAAGAACAATCAAAGAAGCTAATATACAGTATTCAGAGACATAGAGTTGTCCCTTTTCCCCTAGGCCTTCGTACCCCCATTTCGCGCTCATGTCTCTGGAACCAATCCACATCCGTTGGAAGCAATCAAGCACGGAGAACCGCAACCGCGACCTCGAACAACACCATACACGACACCGTTAGCAGGCCCGAGGGAGACCTTGGCCTTGTGGAGGTACCAAAAGCCATTCTCGACCTCACTAAACCACATAATATAGGCAAGCGTGCAGGCAATCACCACGCTGAAGACCAAGCAGACAACAAGTAAAATCACTTGGTTGATTCTGGCTTGTAGAGCTGGGGCCTTGGTTCTAGGGCTTTTGTTGGCGTTCATGCGGATCTTACACTCCTCCCCGGCTTATATGACCAGGCCAATGGCTTGGCTTGTATTGCGTAGGACACTTCCGCGATAGACAATGTGGTCATTAGTCAAGGTGCTCTCTCCTGCCCGACGGTGACATGCCCGTCAAACCTGGGGAGCTCCAGGTTTGGATCCTGGACCACGATGTGCATCTCGCTTGCCCTGATTGCTTCGAGGCTTGTACATGTCTCTGCAACTAGCGGGCACGGCTGTCTACATTTGAGGTTGGCTTCTCCATCCAGCGCCATGGTCTCAATATGCGCCATACCGGCTGAACCTCGGACATGAAGTAGCAGGATATCAGCGGGGGCAGTCTGGTCTCGGTTCAAGCTGCCTACATTGCCGACCTTGATCTTGCTCCATTTCTCCAGCCTCCAGGGCTCATGGAGGCATGATACTCACCAGGAGAGGCAACAGGGACCAGGCGATTACTCTCTTCCCTGTCGAGTCGATAACGACGAAAGTGGTCGAATCCCTCCTTTGCCATTGAAATCGACACAAATACTGCCAATCTTATAAAAGTCGTAAAGTTGCCTGTTGTGCTGAGGTTGGGGATGGCTTGTAGAATGGCCACGACCATGAAGTAAAAGTTGGCGGTCTTCGAGAACTGGGCGACGAGCTGGCGAGGAAGAAAGTTCCAGATGGTGTAGCGGTTCGACCGGATTGAATTCGAGACATAGGGGCGACGTGTGCGTTCATCGGTCAGGTCTCCCCTTCGGTTAGGGTTGAGGTAAAGGTGGCGGCCATCGCCCGGTGGTTGTGGAGCGAAAGAGACGAACCTGCGAAGCGTGTCGGCGAGGTTTTAAACAAATAACAGTGCTCCGCTGGGGATCCTGTTCCGAAGAGAGGAGAGCGTGCCAGTCCTCCGTCTCTATATCATCTGCGACGCCATGGTGATGAGAAGGCGAATCACATTCCTCTTGTACTAGGAGGGATTCTGCGGAGCTCGCAGTATCTGTCGATGGCCGTGACCGATGGGGGAGGATAGAGTCACTGTATGACGGAGGATTCACACGATGGTAGCCCTACGGCTGTAATTGCGACATAAGGTAGCTGTCAAGCAACTCGGCGGAATCGCCAGGCATTCTCCAGCAGTCGTTGACCATGATGGCCGCTGGCTGAACGCGTTCTATTCTGCAGGGTACATATAGGTATTAGAAGCAGTACTTGGGTTGGACCTAGTATGAGGATGAGAGGCCGGAGGTCATCGAGGAATAGAAATGAGACTGGAGATCACCAAGCACAGAAATGAGAGACAGGAGATTATTATGGAGGCACAGAATAAGAGACCGCTGTGACTGAAATACGAATGGCAACCTGGGCGTACGACGATAGGGCAAGAACCCAACAACTTGCCCAGTTGGGATCACTCATCTGGTTTCTCCTTCTGCTTTCCCACTAAAACTACACTACACGCCTGGCTACATGGCCCCTTTCGCAGCGGGGTATTCGCCGGATGATTTGAAGCTGAGTCTCACCAATCGAGCCCAAGCCTGCAGGCTGAGGTGATACGAGGTTGCGTTCGGTCAGCCAATCCGTTCATGGTCCTAAGGTATTAATGTTACCATCGGTACCCTAGCAAGAACAGTCTGAGCGCGTAGCCAAAGCAGAATATCAAACGCAATCAATGCTTGATGTCTCAGGCTGCACTTTCCGCATGATGTTAATGTTCAGGGATACGTCTGGCACCAAAGGCTGAGGATGTCTATTGCTTTTGCTGGTACGGAGTATTGTTAATATCGGGCCACAGGGGCCTCCCTACCAATCAAACCAAGTGAATGTGATTACGCCGTGAGACATTCGTCACGCACTTTCCATTTCTCACATGTCATCGAGTATTATGCGTATGCCGTCGTATCTAGTATTGGTACGCATCATGAGGGGGGGTGCCAGGATATCGGCATAGGCATCGAGCTGAGTGCATGGATGTCGTCCTATCCTGACCTTTCCAGTGTCGATTTCTTAACGTATCCCTGTGGAGGCTTGTGGATGGCCTTTCATAGCCGGGGGAAGTCGTCCGGCGGCAATGTCCGTATATCATCCCAACCCCCACGGATAACAGCCCAGCAACCACAGACGACCTTGGAAGCCTCCGATCCTCCTCAGCGCAAACCGCTCAAGATTTCGCCCAATCTAACAAGCACATCACCCAACAGGCTGCATACAGGGGTATCAAACTCCCCGGACTTCACCTAAGTCCTCATCCTGTGGTGTTTCTTCGGACCGATCCCGCATATCATCGCAGCCGCCGCTCTCCGTCTCCGTGTTTCGAAAAGCAAATAACAGCAAGAAGAAGAATACAGATACGATCAGCCCTTGCGCGTGAACGAGAGCACGCCCGGGAGGAATCTCACCTCTTTATCCTTCTCCAGCAGGGCCCAAGCATATATACTCGGATTTACACCCGCCCACAGACCGCAGAAAGTCGGGTCGTCCTGAAAGAAGAGACGCGCCTCTACCTGCTTCTCTCGTACGCTCTGTCCCTGGCTACGACTGCACGTGTTATGCTCGGCGTGCTTGTTTTCTCCAGTATGCTATGTATCCCGGTTCGGGATAGTGTGGCTGTCATTACGAGGTTCAAGGGTTCTGTGATTGTTTGTCGGGTGGTGCTGATGTATGAGTTGGCCAGGCTGAGGCATTTATATAATATGAAGGACGAGGACGTAGCAGGGGAGCTTGGGAGGGGGAATTATTATTTGGGACACCATGGGGGGTATGGATAGTGGTGGAGTTGGTATGTCCGTGAGTTCTTTCCTCCCCATCCCCCACTACTTCTATTTTTTAGCCTATCAATCTAGCACGGACGGGTCAGAAATGAAAGAGGGGGAATAAACATGGAATATTATCGGACTAGCTCGGTGGGTAACTCCTTCGTCTTCGCACAATCGACATCATAGTAGATACACTGCGATGAGCATTTTCCTTTTCGACATCAAGCTTGCCTATGGACTTTGATTATCTTCGAGCTTTAAGACCTCCTTCTCCTTATCTTGATCGACTCCGCAGCGGCTCGTCCCGACAGACCGTCGCGTACCCACAGCGGAAAGTTTAAACAAAAGACCTCCAGCTTATTCGTCGCTCTGATTCGAAGCAGCGTAATTGTTTTAAAAAGACAATGGGAAAGATGGAATAATTTGAGACTCTATATTGACCTTGAAGCAATCTAAATAAATAAGTTATCCTCTCCTTGTGGAAGTGTCCTTTGCTATCAACAGCTGGTCAGCATTAGCAGTGGACTACTCAGGCCCCTTCTGGGGCCTCCCATCTTAAGTATGTTTTAACTACCAATTCATCTAGCCCTTTCTTTGTAACTTACACACCTTAGCTTCTGTGAGGAGGACCATATAACCCAATATGTGGCCGAGTTTACAAGCAGCTTAGCAGATTTGTTTTCAGTGCGTTTGGCAATCAAGACCTTCAAATCAGTCACCTAACACCTGCGTCCACTCATCATGGAATATACGTTCTCATGAAGCTCCGCGCAAAGCAACAAGCTACCACTGCTCGCTTGATTCCGTACTTTGGTTTCATGGACATCAGAGTCTGCTCCGCCGGCTACGGTATCATATGACCCTGAAATATCACACCCAGATGTGTACGGTAGCGCCCTCCCCGAACAGGTCCCTATCCAACTAGCCCTAACTCACTTTTACGGTCCGGGCCTCGTGTTGAATCTAGCGGATGAACTTTCAATGCATCTCCTAACCACACCTCTGCTGTATCGCCTCCTCACTTTCAAAAATACTCCACAGCGCACAAGGTTAATAGGAATCATTCTCCTCATCGAGTTCGCGGTCAACATGATTGTTCACATGGTCATGGACCAAT